ATGTTAAGCAGAAGTGGGGATATTGGTTAAATGTTGAAAAACAGTGGGTTAATTGCATCGTATTTCTCTGGAAGATTTTTGAGAAGGGGAGCCCTGTTTTCAAGAGATGTCTTTAGGCTTGATTAGTGGTAGCAGGACACAGTGGGATTGCAGGGAAGAGACCAGCCTGATGGTTTCTGTAATAAAGACCCTAGCTTTTGTGCAAGGAACGAGTATAGGAAGGAAGAGATGGGGGAGGTTCTAGTGTGGGAATCTTTTTTTTTTTTTTTTAAGGCTTACCTGTTTATGTGAGAGAGGGGTGGGAAGGGGCAGAGGGAGAGCAAGAGACAGAATCTCAAGTCCATTCCCCGCTGAATGTGGACCCCAACATGGGTCTTGATCTCATGACCCCGAGATCATGACCTGAACCAAAATTAAGAGTCAGATGCTTAACTGACTGAGCCACCCAGGTCCCCCTAGAGTGGGACCCTTTAGGACTTGGCCATTGACTGATAGGGATCTAGAAAAATAAAGGAGGCTCAAAATGATTAGAAAGTTTCAAGCATGGGTGGCATGGTAATTGCCATGGTAATAGTCATAGAAATGAGGAACATAAGGGGCACCTGGGTGGGTCAGTGAGTTAAGCGTCTGCCTTCAGCTCAGGTCATGATCCAGGGTTCTGGGATCGAGCCCCATGTCAGGCTCCCTGCTCAGTGAAGAGTCTCCTTCTCCCTCTCCGTCTGCCCGCCCCCCCACAACTTGTGTTTGCTCACACTCTCTCTTTCAAATAAATAAATACAATCTTGGAAAAAAGAAAGGAAGGAAGGACAGACAGATGGGGGAACTTAATAAAATGACATATTGAGAAAAAGGGACAGATTTGGTTTTGGGCATTTAGAGGTCCAAGTGCCAGTCGGCTGTCTAAGCCAAGGAGACAGATGAAGGTGCTAGTGTTGGGTTCAGGGGGCAGATGGGTACTATGAGACATATTCAGGAGTCATTTGCTGGGGGAAAGAATTTAGGCATAATCAACAAGTAGTCATTTTCCTACTTAACAAACCAGCTGGGCAGCTCAACTCGTAAGCCAGAATGAGCCAGTACTCTAACGAAATGTTCGCATGCTCCTCTCTACACACTATTTTTATCTGAATATATCGGACTCCAGTGGAAGGTTCCCAGTGGGGGAAAGAGTGTCCCCGAGCGCAGCAACACACAGACTTTAAAGGTCATCATTAGGCAAAACCTCAGAGATCATTCATGGTATCTGCGCTTCCTAAGCATTAACTTTATCTCTCCTCCTGACCATCAGCCACGTATAGCTTGCGCTTCTTCCCCCAGATGGATTATATCCATTTTTCCAAGCTCGTTTTTATTTGGCTACTTCCTGCCCACTTCCAATCTTTCTAGGACCCTTAATATCTTGTTCCTTCCTGATGGGACCTCTCCGTTCATCTGTGAATTCCATCAGTGTCCTCTCTACTCTTTTGCAAATTATCAAGACTGATGGTAAACAGGCAGGATATAACGTCAATCCTTTCCCATTAAGCTAGCCAAGCAACTGACAAAAACCCCAGATGATTACATATCCAGAACCACGCCACTGCCTTTTAAATTGAGAAGAGGAGGAGAGAAGGAGGAGGATAGAGAGCTTTTGATTTATTTGATTAAAATCTGTTACATTCTTGAAATGCACAAGGATTTCTCAATTAAGTCTTTAGTGGAGGGGATGGACTTCCCACAAAGCCACATTCTATACGCCTCTTTCTAGCTGTCCATGGTGAGCTATTACAAATCACTCTTAAATCGTGAAAAGCGTTCAAATTAGCTGAATACAGTGAAGCAGGCATTTACAACATGCCACGAGAGCACGAGAATCAATAAAACTCCGCAGACTGCTGCAATGTACATTTCCTCTTACTTGTTCTCACATTTTCACATCAGTATTCCAATTTAGACAATAAAAGCAACGTTTTCTCTCCAGATAGCTACTGCCAAAACAGAGGGATGATAAAAGTGACTCTGTTAAAACTCAGTCTGTCTCCTATGGCTGATCACATAGCTACTTCAGAACTCGCCATAAAAACCAGAGGCAGAAAACACACAAAACCTAAGACTTGGTTTCTTTCCCATCTGTGGTAATCTTGCCTCATTCCCTAAGAAAAAAAGTTCAAAGCACTGTGATTTTTTTTTTTTAAGATTTCATTTATTTGACAGAAGGAGACACAGCAAGAGAGAGAGAACACAAGCAGGGGGAGCAGGAGAGGGAGAAGCAGGCTTCCCACCGAGCAGGGAGTCTAATGCGGGGCTCGATCCCAAGACTCTGGGATCATGACCTGAGCCGGAGCCAGACGCTTAAGGACTGAGCCATACAGGTGCCCCTGTGTCTGATTTTTCAAATTGCTCATCATCTTCCTTTTGGGGAAGTTCTATATTTCCTACTTATAAGATGGAGACTAAGGGCCCATTTTCAGGGAGTTAGGTGGTTAGGATAGTGTCTTTTGGTCTTTTATTTGTAAGATAGTGTGCGTGTGAGCTTGTCATGTTCAGTAACGTAGTCATTTATTGTCACCTATTATGTGACAATCACCAGTAAACTAATTCCCAAAGGGCAGTTCCCACTCTGAGACGGGGGTCATTACATCCAGTAAAGAGTATACGATAAGAGTGGGGGACAGCCATGGCCCTGGGGGAATGTCATCAGGGTGCTGTTGCCTAGTAACTGATGAGCTTCCAAAATTAAGCCTGGGTCAGCAAACTAATGGAGACACTGGGGCAAGAGGAAACAGAAGTGAGCGGACTAGTAAAACAGACTAGCACCAAGATGTGACTGTTTCAGAAGTCTCAAGGACATACTCATGAACATACGTGTCATACGTCCAAGAGATTTACGGAGATCCAGTCTTTGCCCTCTCGCCGTAACCAAAAGAGGAAACTTATGCAGGTATCTACTCAGAGTAATTCTGTTCGTAATCGTGCTTATCAAATATCCAGCTGCTGGGTATACAGAAATGGAACACTTCACTAGAAAATATTTTAGGGGTCCTCGGTAGTTTTCCTGGAATGTCCAAAATACATTTAGTGAAATACTCATGCAACACACTCATCCAAGCGCAATTCTGTGCCAATCTCTGACTTCCTAGTGTGTGCTCCTCAGATGGTTGGTTCAAGTTTATGACACTGTAATAGTCCTTCTTCTATCTCACAGGTTTGTCAGGGCTGTCCTGGTAACTGAAAACATATCTTGGTAAACTAACAGGTCTCAGACCACCTGAATCCGTTTTAGCACATACTTTTGTCCGTGGCAAGATGCCCAGAATTCTATTTACTCAATGTTTTTAAACTTAAAATTAAGAGAAGTCGTTTCATTGAGCCGGAGACAACTCCGTTAAAACCTTCACTCTACCTTAAGCCAATAATAACTGCAATTGAAGGATTATCTGGGAACCCTGAGGCAGTGAAATTATAAACTCTTTGACTATATGAACTGTAAAATGTGCAGTGGAAGAGCATCTTGATGAATGTCAAATGTTTGCAGATAGACTCTTTTGACCTGTTCTGTTTCTCACTGCTTGGGGTCTTTATAGATATTCTTTCATGTGACTACCTGATAGCTTTAGAAATTTTAGTTCAGGAGGTGCCTGGGTGGCTCAGTCGTTAAATACCTGCCTTCGGCTCAGCTCATGATTTCAGGGTCCTGGAATCAACCCCCGCATCAGGCTCCCTGCTCTGCAGGAAGCCTGCTTCTCCCTCTCCTTCTCCCCCTGCTTGTGTTCCCTCTCTTGCTGTCTCACTCTCTGTCAAATAAATAAATAAAATCTTTGAAAAAAAAAAAAAAGAAATTTTAGTTGAGGTATTAATCAGTAAAATTGTTTTCACATGCTGTATTCCTAATTCTATTCAGAACAGGTATTATATATATTTTTTTTTTAAATTTTATTTTATAAAGATTTTTATTTATTTGAGAGAAAGTGAGCGAAGGAGAGAGAGAACACGAGCAGGGCGGAGGAGCAGAGGGAGAACGCAGGGCTCGATCCCAAGACTCCAGGATCATGACCTGAGCCAAAGGCAGACATTTAACTGACGGAGCCATACAGGCGCCCCATTCCTTTTTGTATACTTTGTCCTCTATGCTTACGTCTTAGCACATAACCCCTAAGTTGAAACCATTTTTATGCCAACACCTGTAGATACCTGGGATAGAATGAAATTATTTACATGTGGTTTGTGGTTATCTAAATGGTTAATGCCTGATGATTAGGAGTTAGGATTTAGTGTACTGGAAAATTTTAAATCAGTTTGGTGTATCCTCTTGGAAAGTGGATCATCTAATTCGAAGTATGATCTTACTGTCAACACCCTTCTGTGAATGGAGAGTCACGATTCAGAACCAAAGTAAACGGCTGCTACTATCCTCTCTATTTCACTTTGCTGAAAAATAGATACCAAAGAATAGGGAACTATAAAATTGTACTTTTTTTTTTTCTTGTGAAATATATGTCATTTCTTTTAAAACCTCTTGTGTGTTGAACCTGTGTGTTTGCCCTGGCACAGAAGACCAGGTTATCATCCATAACTGTTGGCCGTGGCCCCTCTGTCTTGGCCATCCCTTGGGTCCTGCCCCACCGTGTGATTCACCTCGGCTACCTCACAAAGGTGCCTCTCGCTCAACTGTCAGGGCTGCCCCCACACTTCATTTAAAAATCTCATCCTTCACTTTAAATGAAAGAAATGAACAGGGAAAAAAGAAACTAAAAGGAAAGAAACAGAAAAATTTAAGGCCTCTTACTACCCGGTGAGTTGTCATTATTTTATGTTAACATTGTGAAATTTCATTCCTCTTCTGTGTACCCAAACAAATTATTAATTTATAAAATTTTGTTTTTAGGGAACTTCCCTGGTTTTTCTAATACTGGCAAGTATTTTTTTCTTTTTTTCCTACAGTTTGACTTTGCTTCTTTTAAATGAAAACTCTTCTTTCTGACCTGATGACCCTTTTTGGTCTTTTGGGTCTCTAGGGCCTCTGTGTGACTTCCAGATTCTTGCAAAGAAACGAGGCATCAAGCCAGAAGCTCAGTTAGTTAATTTTACAGCATCATCGTTGGGATTTTTGTTTTTTTTAAAGGACAAGACTGTGTATTGTATGTCTCATTGTTTTAAGAGCTTTCTCTGACACTGAGGCTAAGCATTGCCTGCCCTCATGGGGAGTTTAAGTCAGACGACTTTGAAACCAACAGATAAAAGAAAACCCAGACAACAGAGCCTGTGTTGAAAGAGGACACAGATAACTACGGCAGGGATACAAAAATCTTCGAGGGTAAGTGTATCTGTTCATTCTCCCTTTAGTGGACATGTCTCACCTTAGTACTGGGCATTAACAAGGTTTTACAGGTATTTTCCAATTAGTTTAGTCATGGCCCCTCCCTGCCCCTGATAATGAATTTACTTGCTTAAGAAAAAGGATATTTTTTTAAAAATCTGATTTTTTTTTTTTTAAGATTTTATTTATTTGACAGACAGAGAGAGTACAAGCAGGGGGAGCAGCAGGCAGAGGGAGAGAGAGAACCAGGCTCCCCACCGAGCAAGGAGCCCGACGTAGGGCTCGATCCCAGGACCCTGAGATCATGACCTGAGCTGAAGGCCAACACTTAACAATTGAGCCACCCAGGCATCCCAAAATCTGATGTTTTAAGGTTTATTAGTTCAACATTTTTGAGATCCTATCGTGTGCCATGAACTATGTGCGTGGTGCTGGATACCATGACTTTAATTAGAGTCCCATTTACCTCAGTTCTTTACTACCTCCTAGACCATTTTAATTCCATTCCTTCTCTAGGGTTTTATGTTATTTTTGTCACAGGTTTTCATTCTACAAATATTTAAAATCTTCGAAGACATTACAGTTACTATTTCTTGACGTCAGTATTTATTCAGAATTCCTGACACTTTCTTTCTTTGTTGCTCCTGGTTCCTTTCTGTATTTCCTTTCTCGCATCTGCTGGCAATCGTTTCCTTCAACGTGAAAAACCGCCTCTGGTATTTCTTGTATTTCTTATAATAACAGGTCTGAGGGTCACAGAGGCGCCCAGCATTTTGGTCTGAACACGTCTTCAGGTCCTCTTCCTTTTCGAAGGATCCTTTTTACAGTTCATTGAATTCTAGGTTGGCAGTTACTTTCTTTTTGTACCTTAATCATGTCGCATTACTGCTTCTGTCATTTCTGGTGAAGAATCATTTGTGCAGTTAGTACGGTTCCCTGTCAGAGTAATAATGTCTGTTTCTTCCGGCTGCTTTTATGGTTTTCACATTGTGTTTTGCTTTCAGCAGTTTAATTGTTCACATCCAGAAGTGTATTCGTCTTTGTATTTATTCTGAATAGCTTGGGGTTCATAGGACTTCCATATCCGTGCTGGAGCTTTCCTCAGTTTTAGCAAATTCTTAGCCCTTATGTCTCCGTATGTGGCTTCTGTCCCATTCTCTTTTCTCTCCTTCAGAGAGACTCCAGCTGTATATGCTTTTGAGCTTTTCACTTTTCGCTATGCCTCAAGTGTCTTTTAAGCTTCCTTCTCTATTTCCCATCCTTTTTGTCTCTGCACTGCAGTCTGAATGGGGTGCGACGCCTGCTTTGTGCATGTGGCCCTCTGTTCATCTGTGCCCAGTTAGCTCTTTGCCTCGTGTATTCAGTTCTCAATTTCAGTTATTCTACTCTTGTAGTGTAGAAATCCCAATAGTGGGCCTAGGTGTCTAGTAAAATTCCTCGTCTTGTCATCTGTTTTCGTGAATGTATGCATCCAGGTCTTTCAAAGTCTTTGCCTCGTAACTCGGTATATGCATCACTTACTTTTCTCTCGTTCCTTTCTCTTGATGGGCCTGGTAGTTTTTTTATGAATTCTAGGCAGTGCGTATAAAAACTCACAGAGGCTCTGGAGGAGGAGTTCTTTCTCCAGAAGGATTGGTTTTGGCAGGCAGTTTGGCAAGGGGCACATCACTTTTCCGCAATCTGGAACAGAGCTGTTTTACTGCTGAACTTCCGTGGCTACAAAAGCATTGTCTATTTCTACATCACCGTTATTTGTACAGCGTAAATCTTCAAGGGTCCCAACGGAAAGTGTTTCTCTCTTCAGGAGACTCAACTCCAGTTTCTGTCTTCTCAGTGCCATGAAAGTGCTGGGAGGCCTGCTCAGCGTCTTAGCTTTGTAGCCCCCACCTTCTGCTTGATGTCTCAGCCTTTTCTTTTTGCACTGAATCGGGCAAATGCCTCAAGAGGAAAAGTGGTATGGAAACTCAGGTTCAACATTTACCTTTTCTCTGGAGAGCCAGCCATTCAGGTGCTTGCTTTTTTGGGTAGTTGCCCTCTGATGACTTCAACAGATTTAAAGTAAAAATTTCTCCATTCTTTGTAGTAGTCCTTGGCAGGAGAGTCGTGATACAAACTAATCAGTCATGGCCAGAAAACAGCAATTTAATTTTTCAGAAGTTATTTCCAGCAAGTCATGGTAGCCATCTAGATTCCCCTGACCAGAGATATTTCTGGTTTGGGGAAATCGGAATCCTCCTTATTCTGTAGGTCTGTAATTGCTACCTGATGTAATTTCCTTGACTGTAAGACAGTTGAGTCTGAACTTGTAGGAAAGAGTAGACACTGGTCTCTAGCTGGTCACATGGAAAGTACTCTTTCTCACCAGCCACACATCTATTACCCTTTTCACAGGTGAGTGCTGACAGTGTCTTTTATATCTTCTTATATAACCCCACGTCACACCGTAGCCATTTGTTTACTTTTCCCATCTCCCCTGCGTGACTGGAAGTTGGAAATCTGCTGTATTTACCTTTATATTTTTAGTGTCTGCCACAGTGTCTGACATTTAGAAGTTGTTCAGCAAATGCTTTTAGAATAAAGGGCTCTTGTATGTTAGGTTATTTATATAAATGGATAATATCCATTAAATTTTCATTAGTAGTATCTGAATTCAGAAAGGTAGGGTTTCTGTGGGTTTTTAATTTTGTTTTGTTTTGTTTTTCTTTTGTTTTTGCCTCTGACCATGTCCCCCATTTTGGGTAAATACCTTACTTAGAGTCTGTATTTGATCCCATGAACTGAAAATATGTAGGGGGAGTCTCAGGTTCCCTAGGCATTGGGACAATGGAAGAGACCAGACAAAATCCAAGAAGAAAAGAACCCAATAACACAGACATTACCAAATGGCTCAGAAGATCAGTGCTCACCTTTACCAGCATCCCAGGGAAGTTTTTAAAATTTATAGTAGAATAAGATGTAGCATGAGACAAATAATACCATACTATCCTGGAATCATGATCTGTCTAGCCCAAAGCTCTGATTCTGTCTCCAGCAAACTTCCTTGTATACTAGTGCTTCCTTCATTTGTTATTGGCTTAAGACATGCATGGAAACAGTTGGGTTTTATTTGAATCAGGTATATATTTCTTCTATATTATTAAAACTTAAAATATAGTCCTATATCTTTTACTCAAACTATTCTGTGCAAATTAATGCCTCACATACTTTGCTTTCATTTCAGGTGACAAGTATTGAATTCCACTAAAGGTATAGTAAGTATATTTCTCTATTTGAAATGAATGTTGGACTTACTTAAATTAAGGATCTGGTTTTCTGACAGATATCTTACTCTCTTGCAGGTTCAGATCTTTCTTCCTGCCTAGCATTCAGTATTTCCAATAATTTGAACCAACAGAGATGCTAGTAACATTTTTGTGGACGTCCTTGACTGATTTTCATTTGCCCCAGAAATGTAACATTCCATGTTAAAAAGGTGGAAATCCAAAGAATGCTTACCTTTATTCCCTAACATTGCCTAGCTACATCATACTACCAGTCAGTGCTGTGTGTTTCCTACCTAACATGCCCAAATCAAAACCAAATGAAATGTCTTCATGAGAATCTTCTTATAATTGTGGAAATAAAAAGTATATTTCTCTAATTCCAGCTTCTGTTAGTGATGGACTAGCTCGATCATTCACAGGTAATAATGATGAAATCTGGAGCATTTGGAAGTATTAGAGAATAAACAGAAGCAGGCGGAAACTGAATAAATCTAACCTTAAAAGACAATGTCTGACAGTTGTTCATGGATTTTTGCTGGAGGGCATTCTCCAGTCTTGGGTCAAGGACCCAAACAGAAGGTGTCAGAGGGTGGAGTTTAAGACCAACAGACCAACCAGAAAATTGGCGGGTGGGGGGGGGAAGCCAGTAAATAAAGCTACTATATGGGTGAAGAAGTAGGAAAATAGGATACTTAAGGAGGAAAATGTCAATAGAAAAAGACCCTGAGGTGACACAGATACCACAATTAGCAGGCAGTAACTGAAGGCAGCTGTTATAAATATGTTCAAGCACCTAAAGGAAGATAAACATACAATGAATTCACATATGAGGGATTGCAGCAGAGAAACAGAAACAATAAAAAGGACCAAATGGAAATTCCAAGCTGAAAGGTATAGTTAACTGGAATGAAGAATTTACTGAATGAGCTTAACAGCAGATTGGAGACAATAGAAGAAAGAATCAAAGAACTAGGAGATCAATAGAAATTATTCAGTCGGAAGAACAGAAAGAAGAAAAGAAAACACGTATCTTAGATGAGAGCAAGAAATAAAAGTAGAGCAAGATTGAAATGCTCAGTGCTAATAAATTCTAGCAACTAATTATGCAAAGAAAAATTTAAAAATAAAACTTGGATTTTGAATGTCTAATCTATGTAGTGTTTTTTCCAAGGGTGAGAGGGAACGTATTATCTGACTTCAAAGCAGTGTGTGTTTGTTGGCTTTCATAAGATTAGTCCTCTCATGTGGCCGTAGGTTTCTTAGCTTTCTGTTCTCTTCTTCCTCTTTTTCTCCCCTATTCCTTCCAGTGACCAATGGCCTTTTTCTTTTGTGTGCTATATTCAGGAACCAATTGTTGTAAAAAGGAAGACAACTTCAGACACAGACCAAGGCAAAGGAAGCCTGTGAGATAGGTCCTCACATATGGTTGTGTTTTTTTTTTTTTTTAAGATGTATTTATTTATTAGGGGAGGGGAGGGACAGAGGGAGAAGGAGAGAGAGTCTTAAACAGTCTCCATGCTCAGCGTGGAACCTGAGACAGGGCTTGGTCTCATGACCATGAGATCTTGACCCTGAGATCATGACCTGAGCTGAAACCAAGAGTCGGATGCTTAACCAGTTGCGCCACCCAGGCGCCCCCATATATGGTTTTATTCGTAAGTGGTGCATTCTCCTGCTGTATTCCATTTTAACTGTAATTTTTGAGTTCTTACTATATCAAATCATAGTCAATCATTTCATTATTTTTAAGCACTAATCTTTCTTAAGAACCTTGGAATACAAAATACGAAATGATATTTCAAAGTAAGTATCTTCTAATTATTAATCCCTCTAGACACAATCCTATTTCTTTTGGTTGTATTTTCTAGGTGTTTCACGAAAACTAACAGCACTTTCAGCAGCAGCCCCCTTCCTGTGGTCCCAGTGGTAACATCTTATCCTCAGGATGGTTTGGAAATGAAGCCCCTCAGTCGCATGAAGATGCCTGCATGCCTGGCTTCCACAGTCCCCGACTGTGGCCAGTCAGTTGAAGAGGACTTCAAAGATGACATGGTGCCAAGACCTGCCCAGCATACTTGCTGTCAGGACAGTAGGAGTGAAATCAACTCTGAGTGCACAGAAGATACAGCAGAGTTCAACAGAGGTACTAGGTGACATTTTAAATCTTGAGTTTCTAGCTGGTCTCTAGTTAGGTAAGACCTATATGAGGACAGTTGCTTTCAGGACGTTCTCTCTGTGATCAAGTCACATATTTCTTAAATAGTGGGTGGGGGGTATTGGGTACTGCAAAAAAGTTGACTGTATAAGGAATTCTGTGAAATTCTGTTATTCATATCCTTCATCTCAGGATATTAATCCCATTACAGTTTGGAGAATAAATCCAAGGGGGTTTGATTTGGTTTGTGCCTGGACAGTAGAGTTGCTGAAAGAATGTATTGTATCATCACGGGCCTCTTTTATCATTTGAATTGCTTCTGGAGTTGTAGCTTTTCCTTAGAATGCTTATTTGTGGGGTTTTAAGGGGTTTGCTTTAGCCCCGAGGTGAATTATACAGCTGTTCATGAGAGCTCAACCTTATTTTAAATCTCTAAGACCTACTTTCTTTCTCAAAGTCAAACGCAACATAACTGGGCTCTACATTTACTCATTACTCTTTTCTTTATTGCTCAAAGTAATGTTGCGAGACTGTTGTTTATAAATCCGCCTTTCTGATTTCATAATGCTCCCAAACCTCTGTGTTTTTCAGGAGACAGCTGTGTCCATTCAGAAACAGAGAACAAAATTTTAAGTTGGAATCCTCTTATTTTGCCTCATGTGTCCAAGGACTGTACTGAAAAGAACACCTGGTCTCCTCCTGGCATTCCTTTAGACAGCCCTGCAGGGGTCCTTCAGCAACCCCAAGAGACCTGAGGGTGTGCAAACGGCCAGTCATGTTCCCACTTCAAGCCAGTAACTGCACAAAACAGGCCAGGGGATGGACTGTGTGAAGGACATGAATTCAAATCAGAGAAAATCATTATTTATTTTTTTTGTAGTAGTAATGTCCTATGAATGTATCTTAAAATGTGTGCCCTTTTATATTATTTATGCCTTAAAATTTCCCTCCTCCTTCCTCCCCCTCGGTAGGAAGCAACCTAGTTTTGCGTAGTTCTCAATCATCTGAGAGTGGTGGCATCATTCCATGTTTCCGAGAAACTCAGTGACCATAAGAGCTCCTCCTGCAAGGATCCAGCCTATTGGCCAGTTCGGCTAAGAGGGAACTGAAGTTTTCAGATGGAAAGCTGTCTTTTGGTGTATTGTCTTATCAGACTTTCTGAGAACATTTGAAGTCACGCTTGGTTGTAACTTAGTGTTTGTAATAGCAGGTGTCTTATGAATTTGAGTACCTTCCACAGAAGTGATAGGTGAGCTGTTGGCTTTCTGTCTTCATAGGGGCACAAATGATGTTCAGTTTTCTAGGCACTAGTCACAGACGGTGTCATGATCATGGTTGAGGTTAAGGTCTGTGGAGTATGTAGACGGGATCAAAGCTAGAGAGAAAAAGATAGCCCTCTGGTCCCACTGCATCAAAATTGGGTTGGCTTATTAAATTGTCACTGTAGGGCTCATTTTGACTGTTTCTAAGAGTAGGAACAAAATGAGTTTAAAGTGGAAAGAAAGTAGACTTGGAAAGAAAGACCCCCATTGTGCTCCCGGTGTCACACCACCTGAAAATGACTATTTTTCAAGCTTCCAGCATGGGCAATACTTGGACGATGTGAGTGTCAGAAAAGATTTAATTTGGAGGGAAAGGGGTATGGTTTGAAATTTCCTGACTTTTTTCAGAATGTCGTCATCGTAAACATACACCTGAAGCTTTGGTTAGTGGAGCCCGTAAATCACAGTTACGGCTCCCTCTGAGTGACAAGGACATTTGCAGCTGCCTTGGGAAGGCCTTTCTTCTCCACATCAAAACACACACACACACACACACACACACACACACACACACAAAAACCACACACTACTCCTATTTAATAGCTATTTTAATAACTTGAGTCAAACTTCAATGGATGACTGCTTGTTTTCAGATTGTGCATCCCTTTTGGGGGAAAAAAATAGAAAATGATTCTCTTTATGTGGAGTCAAGCAGTTTCAGCAATAATTGAGAAAAGTTCACAGTTCCTCAGAATTGCAGTGAAATAGACTAGAATACTATGTTAAGCAACTGTTTCTGTAAATGCATCAGTATTCCCTTAATGTATGCCTACGTATCTTATAAATAGAGCTGTTAGCAAAGTACGCTGTTTGAGCTGGGTCACTCTGCAAGAATGACTTTGAGTAGAATGTAGCGAGTGTCATTTCAGGGTCAGGTATTAGGGACGCCGTTGAATCGAGTGCTGCATTCCATATCGCCATACTGAGAGTATACTGGATTTATTCTTCCCGTGGTGTAGATGCCATTAGCTTTGCGGGGGATAGCTGCATCCCTTACTTCTGTGACTAGCAAAGGACAGAATCCTCGTGCACAGGACATGAAAACATACCGTGTTTGGCCAACCGAGACACAGCCGTGCTGTCACACAGGGAGTTTTAGAAAACTGGGGAGCAGACGTTTGTGGGCAGTCATTTTGATTCAGGAAACACAGGTGTACTAGCATGAGCCTTGCCTCATAAACTGCTTTTAAAGATTGAGTTTGGATATGGGATTTGTGCACTAGGAAGAGAAGATGACTTTCCCTTTAGGGCAATCTTACTGTGGACTGCTTTTATTTATATTATTAGTAACGCTGTTTTAAGTGTTATCCCTCTTATTGTATTTTATTTATAAAAAATGCCTTTATATATTGAGACGTATAAATATAAATATATAAATATATATATAAAATTGCCTTACCGTTCAGGAGTTATGCATCCCTCCTAACCTTGAGTCGTTCTGAACTTGTATGACCTACCCAGTCGCCAACAACAGTCCTGCCTGATGTCGCTTCCCCAGGAAGTCAGAGGACATAGGAGCATATCGTGAACCCTCACAACAGATCTCCAGCACAGTCCCCCACCACAGAGCTGGCGCTTCAACCCGATTTACCCGGAGCCGTAATCCGAGCTCCTTTCAGTTTTCCAGACTGCTTTCCAAATACATGCGGTTCCTCTTGCCATGGAACCAGCCCGGTTCCGCGTGCTCTCTCCCGCCCTCCCTGCTGCATGCTTCCTCTGACTCGACCCCACAGCCCAGAAGCTGCCCTATGTTCATGCGGGCGGAGCTCCGTGCCTGTCACTTGGTCTTCCCAGAATCCCCATCTCTCCTAGTGACAGCCCTCACCACCACCACCCCCCGCCTGGGAATGGGATCTTCCCTGGGCCCAGTGAGCACGACATTGGTCAGGCCTCCTCTGTTCCTTCTGGTCTTAGAATTCTCTGTGGTTCTTTGTTTTAGTGTCAAACTCCGCCCCTGCTCCTGGTGTGTCATTTCACTGTGTCCTTTTCCCCCCATTACGTACCGATCGTCTGCTCATAGGTGCTGTACAG